CAAAAAAGAAGCATCGTAACAGTCTCGTATTTGGAGTTCTTCATATCAAGCGTCACGCGGGCTTACGCATCGAAATTCAAAGCGAGACCTGCGCAAGGTCAGGCTTCGTGGTCTACTTCCGAGCTCAATTTATTGGCTTGGCTCGAGGAGGATACGTACGTTTGAACGCCGCTGCACGTCCATTACGCTGCGAAGTTGTAAGAGGGACGACCTCACCCGCTTGTTGATATTAGTCAAGGTAATTCGTCGAATTTTTGTAGGAAGTTAGCGGTAGCGCCAGAGGCGGTAATCAGCTGCAACTAACAATAACTTCTAATTGTAATCAGCCATCCAAGTGACTTTACTGCTGGGGGACTCGCGCAACAGGACTCAGCCGAAGCTCAGAGTCAGTTAAATCATGGCTATTAAAGTGCAACCGCTGGCTGCCGCGCTGGGTAGAATCTGTCCATGGACACTCATAAACCAGACCACTAAGTTCATTATATGGACCGCAAAGGCCGTAACTGACGTTCCTTTAGGAGCATCAGTAAATGAGCCCCGTTTCAACAGAATTTAAGCGAAAGACGTGAATGCCGTGGCATAGCCAACGATGTACGATGGCTGATGTGCTAGTAAAACCAATATAACCATTTTTACGTGTAGTATATATTCTGTCTGTATAATCTATCCCGTAGCTATCTATCCGTAAGTGCAGCATAAATGTCTTGGCCCTAGCAGAACTCGGAACTAGAAGTGGGTCCCGATTTTCTCATCTCGGATTTCCGTAACAGACTTATGAAACGGCACGGAGGCCATGCAGACGACTATTAACTTTAATACTTTAATTTTTTTTGCAAAATTTGCTGAGATTTGAGCTAGCGTGGCAGCACGCTTGTTGTTTTGGTAATCATCGCTATGCACTCCCAGACGATACGCCTTAGCCACCTGGGCCTCAGAACCCCGAACTAAAATCATCTAGAAGTATATAATAGCTATTTATATTGTTGCGTACCGGCTATTCATGTATATAATGCACAACTACGAAATGTGCTGGGATGTAGATGAGAAAATACTGAGTACTTTAAAACAGATTTGTTTACGAAATGTTACTTCATTTATATACCGGTCATTTGCTTGCTGTGACATTACTGCCCGACGTAGTGTCCAGCAGGGAAAATAGGCCTTTTTAAAAAAAAACAGGAAAGTTTTGTCAAGATGTAAAAAAAACTAACTATTAGCCCATAACAACGTTAGCTTCGGCCAAGGCACCTCTATTTCGATGAGTTGCCAAGTGCAAAAACACCTAACCCACAATCCGTCACTCTCCCTTCTTTTCGCGAAGTTAAGTGATCTTTTTTTTATGGATTGCTTCAATGATTGTCGAAATGTCGAGATTCGCAGAAATGACAACGGATGCTATGTAGCGTAGCTTAAATGAGCGTATATGAAGAAGAAAAAGAGAAAAATGCTAAGCTTGAATATATACCCTCTAAAGGGACGCATATACTGTAAAAGAAGCGATAGTGACCTTCGTTGTCGTCCTCTTGTTTCCATCATCAGCTTAATTTAATGACGAGTAGTTTGGCCGTATGGATAGTAGTTCCATCGGAGCGAGACCCACTACATTTCACATTAAAGTGGCTCGAAAGTATTCCAACTTCAATCTGAAATACTATGTAAGATATACCTAGTATATTTTGGGAGACGATTTTCGGCGCTGCTGCGAGCAAGTGGACCCGTTAAACTCGATATTACGAGCAATACGTTCCGACCTATTATCTTTCGAATCCTTTCAAAACTGTAAAAAGTTCACATTTCCAGCGTCGACCATCTCTTTTTTACTAAGTAGAGCTTAATACCAGCATCAGCTAACGTGTTGAGGAAAACGATGCCGGGCACCCGCGCGCCACCAGACACACTTGCCTATCGACAATATACGAAGCGAAATTGATCATTAATAATGAATCCGCGACTATGATCAGCTCCGGCAACTATGGACTGTTGCTTCGGTATATTACGGAATCGGCTGGGTTAATGTCGCCGAACCCTCAGTATTAGACCCTCGCATCAAGGAAAAAGCGTCTACTAAAGAGGAAGGTTGGCCATGGCTATAAATGCACTTCGATCATTCTGCGCAGGGCTCTCCTTCTGTCGATTACCGTGAAATCGGTGAGTAACAAAACTTCATTAGGTATAAAGAATGAATTTAAAGATAAAAATGAAATATTCAATCGGCGTGGCCAAGGCTAGTGTTGCAATGATAAGAGATGAGAGCGCGAGTGGGACGTTGGGTCCTTAAATGTTTTCGTTTCCGATGTGCAAGGTGATAACCTGTAAGTGGATTTGTAGCAAGTGATGTTACGCCACTACCCACCCTCTACCATTGAATTGCTGCGTAAGACGTTTCAAGTTATTCCGTCAATTAACTATAGCAGTTAATTTTATTATGGTAACCTAATAAATAAAGAACTTGATTGAAACAGGACCATTTGACATGGCGTAATTCACAAAATATCCCATGTATTAGATATAAGTTTGACACAATCGTTAGATGGTACGTCTAGTAAAACGTAATAGTCATAATCAAAAGACAGTGCACAAGTTTAGGTTATACTGTATTAATTATTTTTATATAATATATAGTTATATTAATATTAGCTGGATTGAACGTGTTTTCTATTGTTAGAACGGCCACTTCATACGGCACGAAAAGATAGGTAGTGCGTAATCACAATAGTTTTCGCGGTTTTTAAGCGTGTCTTTGTAAAGAAAGATGCTATAATACGACGAAATTTTGCGAATCACTACAGCTACCATGAATCTTTTACACAAATATAACTGCTTTGTTTGCGCTGCTTTTTATTGGGCTCGTTATATAAAAATTACCACGGATAGACGTTTTTAGTTGTGATCGACGTCACAGTAACGGCCGGCTAGAGACTAGCTGGAGCAACGGTCTACGACTGCGCAGTTTCGAACCAACGACCGGGTGCCTATGGTTGGCGTAAGCGCCCATATTATACTTCCTGTAAGACGCAAGATCACAGAATAGCTTTTGACAAAGAAGGAAGTTATTCTAATTCATAGACAAGTTCTAAGAACGAACAACATGTGCGTACGTCAATCGCTCGACGTTGTGAGATCGACCTCTCTCAGCGCTCTAGATATGGTCAAAGGAATCTGATCACTTGTAGCTGATCTGAGATCGTAAGTGCCATTGTTGACAGACAGATTGTTATTCATTTTTTTCGCTATCCGAACTACGCTGTCACTATCGGTTACGTTCAGGAAATTTCAGCATGCGCCCATTTTCCATCCAATACCGCCCATCGGCTCGCCAGGCGCCATTACATTGATCAAAACGCAACGGATAGGGCATTAATGTTTACGCAACAGACGGAGCTAAACGTGCCAACAAGTGGTTGTATTTCGAGAGCTTATCTCGATACGAACGTGTACGTTCCACATATAGAATGTGTGATTAGCCATATCGAGTAGAAAAAAGTAACAGGGGCAGCGGTTGGGTGTTTCACTTCTTACGTAGACAGAAACGGTCCACGTATAGATTGTACGGAAGGGGAGAGGGCTGACGGTTATTTAGTACAGCTGGCTTCAGTAGCTCTCTCAGAAACGGTCCCATTTCGGACGTTTTCCCTATCGGGTTATTTAGCTCGTCACAATTTATCTAGTAGATTAAATGGTTACCAGTTGTTCATATTTTATTATAGAGTCCACCCTAGCATACACCACTGGGATTGTATAACTCTCGTATTGAAAAAGAAACCGCTGCTGGATCAATGCACCAACCTATATATATCCCAGACGTTAACACACTTTTGGCTTATTAATGTTTCAAGCTTACAATTGCATAAATATTCCATGATGGATCTGCTGCAATGTCACTACATTGACATGTCGCCTCAGCCTATAAATTGAGTGTCCGTCTAGCCATGAGTAATTTAACAACTTCGTATTGGATAGCCTGACGAACTCCCCTATGATCGCACAAATATCAGCCATGTATTGAGTGTCGCTCTTTAGCTTTGGGATTCCTTACTGACTGTCGCCGTCGCGTATAGATCGGGAGCGCATACGACACGAAATTGATGGAAAAATTAATTGACTGCTTCTTAATTACGTTTGCGGCCAAAGGATATGCCAGCAGGATCGGCTGTGTGCCTTTCACGGTAAAATCCAGGCCAAATTTCCAATGCTCTTATAGGAAGGAGGTAAATATTTTAATGTTATGTGAGAGTTGTATGTGTTCCATTTCGAGTAATAATGAGAGAATTTATGACAAAACATGACTTTTAATGGTCACACTTTCGTTCACTTTTTTATCCCATCGCATTGTATTTTCTAACAAGTGACGTAGAGATCCCAGCCTTTTAACGGATTCATCGGTTCCGGTATTCTGCACAGCATCGCTGTTGATCTTATCATTCAGTAATTGACTGTTCTTGCCCGGTTCTATCGTCCTTGAGCTATGGCGACATCGCATTCTTATTCTATATAATATATAGTAACAGACTGGTAACAAAGTTCGCTCCGTTGGAAAACCTGTATTTGCCACTTTCCTTCGTTTCATTTCGAAGCGCTCTCGGTGTTTCTCTCACATGTTCTTATTTCGAATTTTCGTCCTTTTAGACAGGACAGGCCACGAAGCCTTCCGCTTGTTCCCTGTCCGCTATCAGTTTAGCAGCTTGTTATCTTTTTCCTACGCTACCCTTGTTGAAATCGATGTACAGCTTTCCTTTGGTGCAACTAGCGCCCGTATTCGGTTTTGCTATCGCTTTTTCTTATCTAGAACTACAGGTCTACGCCAAGTATTCGATTGCGGTCGCGGCAACTGGGCCACCCATGGCCACTCAAGAGTATATTGCATAGATTGCCCAATCAGCCTTGCCTATCGCATGACCCTTTCCCAATGCGCGATCCGGCGTTGTTTCGAATCTCGTGGGCGAGCGTCTGCTCCGAGTGGTAAACACAGGGACCGTGTGCAGAACAAGAACACTCTCATAGACCAACAAAAAGGGGATGGAGAATAAAGACAGCGGAGAACGCAGATGACGATGCCTACCATGAAATGATGTCGAGTGTTTTCAGTAGTTGCAAGTGTGGCTCACGTTGTTTTTTCTGCCCTCTAAATATTCTGCCGTACTACAGCGAAGTTATTGCAATTTAAAGTGTGTCAATTATCCGTAGAAGATTCAGCGTCGAGAGGATTGCGCGAAGTTTCATTTATAGCCGGATGGTGCGATCGTTCAGGTAATGGTACTGCTCACGGTGGCGGAAGTGGTGATGTTTGCTCAGTATGCCTTGTTGGGTGCGCGGAATTCGAAAGAGAAGAGTTTCTGTTCGATAGCGTGTTGTTCGGTCAGGTCTCAAAAGGGTTACGGTGACCGTGGACGTGGTTGGCGCGCCGGCTACGGGTTCGGGGGTACGTACACTAACGTATTTATTTACTGCTTTAATTGGCTATACTTTATATATATATAAAGTTGACCATATCCTTTGTGACACATCAGCTTAGAGCAGCCTGCCGGTGAGGTGTCGCAGTGCTCGTTCCAAGTCTCGTTCAAGTTTTGAACGCCGGCAGGTATAGTATTATCGAACACAAATATAGCACGCAGGCAGCTGATTGGCGGAGCAAACGTTTGCGCTTTGTTGTCTATCAATACAGTATTCGAAAGATTCAGAGAGGCTTAGTAAATCTTATCTTGATATGGATAATTAGTATGAACCGTGTGTATTTGTGTGGCACCTATTAGGTCATTATTAAGTAACCGCGTATGCAACAAAGGGCCGACAGTGGGTAGTTGTACTTCCTGCGTGCTTAGCTACTTACGGGTTTTGGTGGCAGCCCGCGCTATCAGATAGCGCGCGCATTCGTTATTCGGTTTTAGCTGCTTTTGGGGCTGCGAGCGAGAGGGTAGCCAATTCGGGGGTGCGCGAAGTTCGTTTTCGTATATGTCGGCATGTCGGGTTTGTGGGGTTCTTCTGGCTCTGTATTCGTGGTGTTGTAATGCTGGCGACGGTCCGTTTATCGCCGTAAACGTCGTGGTTGCTGGTTGGCCAGTGCTACGCGCTACAGTATATGGCTTGCCACTGCGTCTTCACAAACTAGCGATGTATTGCAGGCAGCACAATTTACCGCGGCAGCGATAATAGTTGTTGACGTTGACGGCGCCATCGGCTTGCGACAACTATAGCAGCCTACAGTTGCCTAACGGGAGTGGGTCGACGCTGTATGTTCTTCTGATAAACTGTCGTCAGAGTCGTGGGTGAGGGCGGGTACACGGCACGCATCGCCAGCACTTGAGTGTCTTTCAGCACACGTCGTGGGGACTCTCTACTGTTACTCCCCTTATTATTACTGCCATACTCCAACCGGAACGACTTATATGATCGCATATAGAAAGCTACGAGCAGCAGTCCTTCTACACGACACCACCTTATCTGTCAGTTTCTTTACTACTACACAATGTGGATACGCTACGTCAGCGACTTGTCACTGTTTAGACAGAGAGCGTGGGTTCGCGCGGTTGCAATCTTAAGTGCAGACCTGCTAGACCCCCGCAGCCGCAGCAGCTAAACGGCCAGGTTTGTGATTGGTGTCCACAGCGACTAGAAACAACGGGGTATTGTTACCGCTCAAAAACGAGCCTCGTGTTTCGATCGTCGGTGCAGAGTCGCCGTTGTGCTAGTAATTGTTAGTCAATTGTGAAGACCAATGAAATCCACAGAAGACTCATCGTAAGAGGCTCTACCTGCCATGCGTGAGAAAGAAAGGGTGTACCGATCTCTGCAGCAGCCGTGGCCCTGCACACAGGAGAGTCCTTCAAGCCAATGCAGTGCTAGATAGAATATTTATATATCAAGTGAGTTCGAATTGCGCAGGCAGAACAGAAACACGCCGAAAAAAATCACCTGTGCTGTAGTGAAGCTGGCTGATTGATCCAACGAGACAATAAAGGATTCAAGTATCATAGTGAAGTACGTTGCCATTCGCTATAGCGGGCAGTGTTCAATATACTGGGCACTCTATACGGGGAGAGGGGTACCCGTGTGTGGCTCATTGTGTCGGCTTTTAGCAGGCTGGGTAGAAAGTATAATGGCTAACCAATATATGTACAATTAAGCTATACATATATGTATATATACATATATATATGTAGCAGGTCAGCCTGAAGCTGTTCATGTATATCTGCAGTCAGAATAATTCTTCATCGGAATGATTGTTCGACGATAGGATTGTCGGTGAAACATTCGTTTTTGTGAGTTTGTCTTTTGTTTATCAGTTAGCTCACGCGATTTCGAAAAGGAACAGAAAAAAATCTTCGTTGAAATCCTCGTGCGGCGCACAAATGTGATGTCCTTTTATAGCACTGTCTTAGTCCTATTATTAAGGACGTATTATTGTCTGTGATCGAAGTTTCGGTGACTGTATTTATGTACATTTTGCATCGTTAATGTGCTGTGTTCGGTGGGTGATCAAAGTGCGCTCATGTCGTCATTTGTCTTTATAAAGAAATCATTGTCTTCAAAGTGAATGAAGTGGTCGGAGAGGTTTTGGTGTTGTTTGTTCCTGGTGTAGTTCAGAGCTGGAAAGAGAGTCAAGTTACGATTGTTGCTTAATTTCTGTTGCTGTTCAAAAGTATAACAGCAATAACCATTTCCGTTATAGCACTCTCGATATATATATATATGACAACCCGACATATCCTCAGACCCCACTGTTCGCTTAACCGTCCATGTGTCGTGTTTTATATAACTCACTAACGAATTGGAAAACCGGCATCTATCTGTCTGATATGCCAACCATTTCTGATACCACTTACCCTGATATCAGCGGTCTTGACACCCAATAAAAGGATTCGTATACATACAGTTTTCTCTCTTTCCTTTTGCTTTAGGTCGGCGTATACAGCGATTATGTAAGGTAATGAGAAGTAACTAGCCGATATCAGCCAGTGGTGTGAGCAGACCATTCGTGTTGGTTTGACTAACCGTTCACGCGGGCCTTTCACTCCATCTTTGTTGACGTTGTACGTAGTTCGTTCGAGCCGTTCCGTTCACGGAAGCAATTCACCTTCATGTAGCTTTAGCTGTGCCAACAGATGGAGTGACGCCTGCTGGAGACTGACTGACTCATTATACTGTCCCCTGAATCTGCCGATTCATCTGATCCTGTATCCTTGTAAGACGAAATCAGAGCCGTTTGATTTCCTGATTAGGCAGACCTAAAGGGAGACCCCCGTAAATTCACGATAAGTAAGTGGTGTTTTTTGAGGTGGGGTTAGCAGTCTTAACTTTTGGGAAAATTTTGTTGGTGGGGCCCACAGGTTACCGACCATGGAGAGGAACCGGCCGGGCGTACAGTAAAAGAAACAGCAACAAAGGCAGAAGCGTGTCGGGCGCGTATAGATACAGGCTGGATTCTGCAAAAAAAGGCAACAGTTTTTGGGTGTCGTTATTCGAGATAGTGCGGGTTTCATACGACTCCGGAGGCCTAAATGGAAAGACGGGAAGCCGTGGTCCGAACCGTAAAAGTATAAGCTTACGAAAGGGATCCAGCATTAACAAAAAGCTCGACAGGAGTCAGTAAGTTTTTCTTCGAAATAACAACAGCAGCTTCATGAACGGTTTCGCCTCAGGATTTCGGCGTAAGCTGCTCGATACGTCGTTTGCCTACCGGTATCATCGTCTAGTTATTTGTGCAACAGCTGCAAAAAAGGAACCCACTGCGTGAGCTGTTTAGCTGCAACCGAAAACAGCCAGCGTATCGCGGAAACTGCTTGTAAGCTTTGGAGACGTGGAAATTTGTAGCATTACAAGCATTAATAATTTCTACCAGTATTGTTATTTCAACCATTACGACCATAGTTCAAGTGTCGGTGAAATCTGGAGGAAAATCTATTGAAAGACAAGCAACGCCGTCGAAGCTACTTTGACTGTTCTTCATAACAACAACCACAACCAACAACGGAAAGACAACGCGTAACGTTGGGTGCTGCTGGCGTGAAGGTGAGACGTGGCAGTATTGGTGGTGCAGTCACCATTCATTATAACTATGTGGACCGCTCTTGCCGGTCAGTAGCGGGTGACCACATTCGCTCAAGAGAACGCTAACTGAGGATGTAACCGGACAAGAGGCTCGAGTGCAGAGCGGCCGCCTGCAGGCGTAGGCCATTAAGGGCCGAACCCGGCAGTGCGGGCGCCTCTTCTGCGTTTTTCTGGTGCTGTTTCTGCCGTTCCTGCAGCGGCTGCCGTCCATGACGAAGCGACGAAAAACCTAGTAGCAGACAAGACCGGCGAGTAGGTTGGTTAGTAAACATTTTTCTAGCCAGCCAGTGCACAGCTCGTGGCATCTCCAACGACTGCTGCTGCTACTGACGACGACGACGACGACAACGACAACTGAAAATCATATGCCAGCGTCGGGGGAAAGTTAAGAGTATAAGTGAAGACGGGGAAAAAAGAACTTCAATTATTGCTGTTATACTTGTTACACGACCTCTTCTGATGGTCGCCTCAGCACACAGCAAGCCATGCTGTGGGAAGGCGGTGGTCAAGCCGATCTCTGGCAGATGGCCTGTCAGGCTCCCATACGAGTAAGTGTCCACAATAAGCTGAGGTTGCATTGCGTGCAGTATGGTGATTATGATTATACTCATGATGATTGTGTCACATTCAGTGCATGTAGTGTGATGATCCATTATTAACTGTTAATTCTTTGATCACCTAACAAAATGGCTAGGATAATTCGTTTACAAACCGAATAAGTACTCAAAAATCAGCCAAATTAAATCATGTAACCTCTGTAACATAACAGTGGCGGCATAGATAGATAGAACTTGATAAAAAAAACATGAAGGTGGCATCCGTCTGTCTGAAACTGTGTTTTCTTGTACTATGAAGAAATAATAGAAACGATAATTGTTCTAGCATCGAAGTTCGCTGAGTATTTGAAATTAGTTGAGATACTTGATTCGGACCTGCTTTGGTATAAGATGGTTCCTGATATGAAGACGCTGCTCTTAGAGTCAGTAAATGATTATATAAAAACTATTTGGATATGAAAAATTTATGCGAGGCTCGTCTAGAAGGAACGTGAATCAAAACGGTGGGATTGATTTGGAGGCCTAGTTCGATTTTTTTGGGGCTTGACTCGAGCGACATGCATAAAAATATAAGGTACCTAAAATCTGTTCATCCTGGAATTAAGTAAAGCAGTATTAGGCATACCTGCTATTGACCGATATAGGTTAAATAGGTTACGCAGGGCTAGGCTATGGTGCTCCTGCACGATTAGCGGCCTTCGTGATACACTTCGTTAATGACGACTTGGCAGACGTAAACGTTCGGAAACCATTCGTGATTTTCTGCAGAAGAAATCGACGCGTATTCAAGAATTTGGCTTGAGTCGTTTATATAAACATCATCAGCTATATGCGCCAATATCAAAGTTTGGTGTAGACAAGCAGAAAGAAGAATATCGTTGGATCATTCTATCGGCTTACCAGACGGTTGTCTTGGAACTGAAGGTGGTCAGTAGTTTTCTTCAACAGAGTACGTCTGTACCAAGTGCTGAGATTGAATTACCCCGAAAAATTACCACCACCAATGTTTTTAAGATGAGGCTATTATGGTCCACCACTAAAATAGTTTTTTTGGAAGAGTTAGTTAAAAATTCAATTTAATAATTAATCGTATAATAATACTGATGGTGTTTCTAGACGTTTTTTTTGATGTGTGGTACCTATACGGAGCTAACATAGCCACAGGACTTAGATTGAGGGGTCTAGAAGTGCAAGTTAAGCTTAACTTGCACTTCTAGACCCCTTAAACATAAAGCGCATAAAGCTTTATACGCTGTATGCCATTGCGGATCGACCATTCTACAGCTGCAATAGTACATGTTGAATACCCCAAGTGGTATTCGTGTGACAATACTTACGTTTGAATGACTAAAGATGTTTACTACCAAATCAGACAAGCAATTTTTGTAGCATTTTGAAAGTCGCAGCTGAATAACCGAGAGAGACATCTGGCTCGGGCGTCAGCAGGGCCTACAAAGAAAAAACTAGTCAAACACGTAAATGCTTTGCAAGTTTTGTACGCTGGAACTTGAAGAAGATGAACTTATATCCGTCTGGTTTGTCCAGCCGGTTTGTCCAGCCATTTGACTAACTACCGCCGTAGCGTATATCATTGTGACAAGTTTCGCTGTTACTACAACAGTAAGCCTCATAGTAAGAGTCAACGTAAAGAAAGGATCCCTGCCTCTACACGGCTAAATTCGTCGTGTGATGTCGAATATCGATGTTGATTAATACCCGAAGCGGCGACTAGTCAATCATTTTACTATCTGTATTAGATCATATTGAGTAATGTTATACAACTGAGTTGTGTTTGATATTGAGCTAGCTAGTTATGACGTTCGTCATAACTAGCTAGCTATAACAGAAATCCTCAGCCCGAACGAAGCGGCTAATTAGAGACAGGGAGATTTCGGCAATCAAGGCAGATTATCGCCCTCGGTATCGTACCGCACGATGACAGTACGCTCTCCAACGACGTCCTACGTCTGTGTGAGATGTGAAGCATCGGATATACTGTTGCGGCACAAGCAACTCAGGTCATTGTCACCAATCATTTGTCAGATGATTTTGTCCGAGCTCGAACAAACCGGTTGATGAATCAGACCTATTGAATTTGTAGCTGCTGTAGTTTTGAGTTGCATCTGAGCCTTCATGCGGTCATGTTCGGAGTCTTGGTTAACTACGTCCACAGTGGTCATAGGCTGCACGCTTATATCAGGGACTCCGGCGCATCAGGCTAAATCAGGCGCAAACGCATATATTCATGTTCACTGTCTTCTATCTGTTTTAACGTTTGGTTAACTTTTGATGATCTTGCTGCGCCAACCAAGTCTGCTGTTGTGACACTATTGTTGTAGCGTACCTGTATTCTACTGGATGAAGTATACGTTGCTGAATTACAGACGGTGGCCTGTGTTCTTTTCATTCTGTGCTGCTGCTGCTACTGCTGTTCTTGATATCTTCGTCTCCGCTAGTACCTTTTCCTATTTTCTTTTTCATTCAAAGCAATTTCTCGAGCGCGTAACTGCATCGAGTCCGGGATTGGCAACGTACGTACACAGCAATATGATTTGTGACTGAGCAGACGACAATAAAACCTCGAGGAAAAATGAGCTTCTTGTAAATGATAGACGATGGTGTGAGGGGAAGACTTTAATATTAGCACAAGGATTTCTTCACTGCATGCGCCTGTCAGCCCCCTGACCGTCGATATGAAAGGCATTTTTGTCATCTTTCAAAATCGAGTACGTTGCTCTTCAAAATGGAAATCTTAGTATGTATATAAGCAGGGTCATTTTGATCAGGACACGGAAGACCCCTTGTTAAGTCTACATATAAGAACTCATATATACACACATTTATTTTTAGATGGAGCATTTTGTGACTTGCGAAAGATGTTTGACGCCGTGACTTAGTTTGTTGAGTCGGCTTTTTGCTGTACCGACAAATCAAGTGAGCGGGCCTGCAGTTTCCGTTTTTGCCTCTTTCGGTTTTTTCCACTTCTGCTTTTTCGATATGTGTAGCAGTTTTCTTCCTAATGGTAGGCAACAATTTTATATACTATCAGGTGTGGCTGTCCGTGGGTGTGTATGCGTGCGTGCACTTTACAGCAAATGCAGCTGCTGTGGCAAGAGAGTGAAAGAGGTAGAACTTCGCCATCTGCGTTTTTTTTCTGCTGCCGCTATTGCTGCTTCTTCTGTTAGTCGAAGATAGTCGAAGGCAGATACGTTTTGCTAATCCAGCGGATAACAATGCGTATTTTCCATTATCAACAGTAGGACCATTGTGGCGAATGCGGGATACGCGTCGACTACACTGTCAGTGCGTTCCTGGCTTTGGTGTATCGTAAGCGGAATAGAACCGCTCGCCAAGGGGTTTGGGGCGAAGAAAAACAGACGGAAGCACATAACGAGTTCCCGCAAGGGGTTCAGCAGTTGTTTTTGTTGCCGCCAAAAGTACGGCTGAACAGAGGCTTGTAAGAAAAGCAGAACCCTGAGAGTGGGAGCGGCAGGATCTGGCGAACGAAAGGGTCTTGGCATGCAGACTAAGTTGAAAAGCCCTGCCATATCCTGAAGCATGGCTGTCGGCTCTACCGTTCCGGCTCTATATTAGTGTATGCTAGAGTCGTTGCTGTTGTCATTATTGCTGGCTTCATTTTCAGCTCCTGACTGTAGCATCTTTGCCCACATCAGCGAAAGAGCTTTTACCACTTGCCCATCCCTCTCTTTCCTGCCACTGCTTCTAGCTAAGCTACGGTAACGTACTTGAAAGGTGACGGCGGAAAATGGTACTTGCTTCACCAGAGCGCAAGACGATATCTAGAGGTAGTTCTTTTCTTTTGGCAAGGGGAACACCGACAACGCATGACCGTATAGCCGACCGTTTTGCAGCTGTGCAGTGCTGACCGAAGAGATAACGTCAATGCCAGCAGAAGCGGCGCTATAAGAATAGTTGTCTTCCGTTTACTGCGCATCAGCGATTTTCGCTAGGGGACGAAGTAAGCAATAGGTTGTTCTCATGCTTTACCGTTGAAGCCTTTCGAGGTAAGAGGCATGAAAGTAGCCGAACGGACCAAGAAAACCGGGCATGCTTTTCGCGCCACTCCAGGATGTACCGAATCTAGTAAAGGACCTAGCACATCTCTAAAGTTAGTTATAGTGGCCTAGCTATGCACCTTGCTTAGCTGTGTTCGGGACGGCTGGCAGTTGGTGGGAAATAGTAATTTTAGGTAGAGTATTATACCTTATGGGTTGCGACTCTAGATGCTATGGACCTGCTACTATAGTCAGCCTTAGCATCGTTGTTCCGCTAGTGCTGTTCTGGGGGATTTTTTTGGCGCCAGAAGTGCTGTGGTAAACCTACCTGCAAGCTTGTAAGGTGAAGGACTTCTCAACCCGGTCCGTTTAGGATCTAGAGAGATGGTTATGCTAAGGTTTAGCCATGGGCGCTCATAGCTCACGATTATGGCCAAAGGCGCCTAGCTCAGCAGTGGATCTGGTACCGAATGATTTGTCTGTAGAGAGGAGGCCTATAGACAGCAGTCAATTTTAACCGGATCATCGCACTGAAACTATCCGGTTTCACCAGTGTAAGCGAATCAACATTAAATGGACGTTGCGCGTTGCATCTAGGGCGAACGATTCTTGGCTGGGCATCAAGGTTTCTAATAAGGAGGCCTGATCAGGAATGGCATATCTGGATAGCCAGACACTCTTGATTGGTTTGCCAGTGGTAAGAAAGAGTATCTTGGAATAAGAAATAGATAGACGGGTGAATTGAGTCAGAAAAGACAGTACCTCAATAGCACAGCTTCTCCTACCAACCACCAATTCTTATGAAACACGCAGCTGATTCGGCTATGTGATTAGTGGCTGAAAAGACAGCGCGCCAGCTCATCGCCTTGGCAGCTTACATGTGCCCTCAATGCCGGTACATTCTGTTTCAGTAACGACTTCATATGTCCACAGAAGCAGTCAGTGGAATATCGGACCCGAATCCAACCCGAACCA